GCAGAAGTGCTCTAACTGCTGAGCCATCTCTCCAGCCCCTCACTTTATTTCTTAAACCAACGTTTCCCTTTGAACAGATCTGGTTGGTTAAGAAATCCCAACCATCATTTCTAGATGGTGTCCATGGCAACACTAGTTGTTGCCTCTGCTATAAAGCAGCTAGTACTTGTGGGTCCAAAGAACCCACAGTTCTCCAAATTTCATAAGGCAGATGGGACAAGTGGCTATATGCGGTGTCGATGAGCACACCAAAGCACTTGGGGCCTCCAGGCTACCTCAGCATACAAGTACCTGTTAAATATTCCACAGTCCATGCTTCTTCTCACCCCCACACTCCCCAAGCTCCTAGGTTTCCCTCCCTGCAGCTTCTCATTTCCCTTATAAACCAGCTATTTGGGCCATGCTCTCTGACTCTCTCTCTCTCTCTCTCTCTCTCTCTCTCTCTCTCTCTCTCTCTCTGTCTCTCTCCAATAAAATCCTTACCCATAGCATGGAGCAGCCATGTCATCATTTTATAATATACTAAATGTTTGAGATGTCTGAATTCCAGTCTCCCTCAAGACCACCGCAACTTTGACAGCATGGAATGCAGAATACATCCCACAGTCGGTCTCCTTATGCACACAGCACTATCCTTTAGCACAAAAACCTCAGGTCTAGTAGACTACAGCAGCTGCAGGACCAGGTCCAAACACGGCTAACAAAGTGATCATTATTCATTAGCTTTCCAGAGGTTTGTGAAATCTCATAGGACATTTCCACAAAGTTAGCCTATGAAGTTACAACTGTGAGGGAAATTCTGCTTGAACCTGTGGTTACCAGAACAAGCACCTTTCTACTTCTCTGATGTTCTGCTGACACCCTGTTCCTGGCTTGGAGAAGTCTTTAAAGGGGCAAAGCAGAGAGAACACCTATGCACGGTGTTCTAAGAACTCACTATCCTTAATTAGAATTTGCGATGAATAATGTACAAAGTGATGGTGAATTCTGATTTCCTAAATGAAAACCACACTTAGGCTGTCTACCCAGGGAAGGGCTTGCACACTGAGGTAACAACACAGTGAGAAAAGAAAGCAATCTTGTATAGAAAAAAAGCTAAAAGGACCAACCCTAACTATGGTTTGCTAGAAACCTTGGGAAATTAGGGAAATTAAAAGCATTAATTATAATGGTTTAGCTAATGTCTCAAAAAGCTAAAGCTACATCCATGTAGATACTGGACTTCTTCAGAACAGGTTCCAGAGATATCGATGTCTTAGGGTTATGGGAAATGCCATAGACTTAGGCCCTTGATTTGAGTTTTACAAAGAATCAAATAAAGGAGATTTCCATCAGGATCTCACACAGCCATGGCACTCCCAGATCTCATTTTCAGCAAGACAGAAGCCCTAGAAAATCTGGGAGGAGCTGCCCAGTTTCTAGTCTGTGACCAGAGGCTCAAGGAGGATGAAACACATCCTCATCCAATAGCAGACACACACTGCCTGCCTGCTCCTCTCTCCGGGGATGCAATAGTTCTTCTAAATTCATAGAAATATGTCCACACAATTCTCTATTGTCAGAAGAAATGAAGAGAGAGAGCCAATGGCTGAGGTGATATGTTTCACAAGTGGGCATGCTCATGCACACTATGTTGTAGTGTGCTGCCTTTCTTTAGCAGGCTTCTCAAGGGAGCTGCTCCTGACCATCTAACCCTCTACCCCGCAATCTCACCAGATTCCTTTAAACGAACATTTTTAGTGTTGACACAATAGGCAAATTAGGATGTACTTAAGGGTATTTACTTTAAAAAGCTAACTTTTTAATTCTCAGTCCCCAAAGAAAATGAGACTCTAATTTCTTATATAAATGCAAAATTTTAGATTCCCTTAATTATAGTTAAAAATGTAGCTGCAAACAAACGTCAAACCAGAATGCCAAAACAACAGCTTTAAGTCCCATTTCACAAGTTGTTCTTTTAGAGATGTCTTCACGTTGTCAATCAAAGAGATAATTTTGATTTTGCCACAGCTCCTGCCTCCATTAAAAACAGCAAGTGTGTGGTAGCAGAAGAAGTTGGGCAAGTGAGTTGTTCTCAAAACTGTTGATGGATAGCAAACCAGAGCCAATGGTGAGACCGGGAGAAAATTTTGTTCCATTACTGAAGATAGCACAGCACTTCTCTTGGTAACACTATGCTCTAACAATGACGTCACAGTGGAAGCGCCCAAAGGTTAATTATTTTACATCTTAGAAACAGCACAGGGGATACTGAGTTCGACAGCTATCTGCTGAGTACCACATGGTAACAGTAGGCTATGAAATGATGGCCTAAGAAAAGATGAAACAGAAGAAATAATACTTCAGAGTGTCTGTAACAGACAAGGCGAGAGCTAGATGCTTTAGCTTCCACAAAAAGTTAGCTAGTATTAGTACACCCAGTTTGCACACAAGGAAAGGGGTTAACATGGTTGGGTTGCCCAAGCTGGACAATGGCCATGCTGCGATGTAAATCTGTGTTTGCCCAACTCAAAAGCCCCCAAAGCACGGAGCCCTTGCTTTACCACTGAATTCCTTGTTATTGCTGTTGTCTGAGACAGGGTCAAACTATGCAGCCCTATTTGGCCTGGCCTGGCTTGCAGTGATCCTCCTGCCTCAGCCTCCTCCATGCTGGGATTACAGGTGTGTAGCACTATGGCCGGCTATGAGTCTTTTCAGGTTATATAATATTAAATATGTCTATTCACTTTCCTTTGCTTCTAAGTATTTTTGGATTTGTTCCTGAAGGGTGAATCTTTATCACACTGTTGACAATGTAAATCATGTATATGTAGACTAATCCTCAGAGGAGGAATGCAGAAACATTTATAACAGTAGTTCTCAACCTGTAGGTCATGACCCCTTTGGGGTTACATATCATAACAGATATCCTGCATAACAGATATTTACATTATGATTCATAACAGTAGTAAAATATAGTTCTGAAGTAGCAAAGAAATAATTTTATGGTTGGGGTTACAACATGAGGAACTGTACTACAGGGTCGCAGCATTAGGAAGGTTGAGAACCATGGATGTAAAGGATAGGACAAGCTCAACCACTGTGGCCGACAGCATTTGCCTCATTAACCCCGCATCATTGAAAACAGGGAATCCTAGACAGCATAAGAATTCTTCAGATGACCAAGGTTCTAAACCAAAGACTTCTGAAGTTTTTTTTTTTAAATCTATTTCACAGTACCTTTTTGAGGATTGTAATTCTGTGCAGTTTCTATAGAATACATAACTGCTTTTAGACAATGGGCAATCATTATGCTCACTGGTTATTAACCCATATTATAAAGATAGGGAGGACATTTCTGAAGTTATTGACATACCTAGGGCCATCAGTATATACTTCTAATGTATCTCTAATAGACACTATAATGTTTGTCTAAGTTATAGTGATTTTGAAGGTCTGTCCAAACACAAGTTTCCTTTCTGTTTATGTATGTTCTATTTTCCAGCATTTATTCCTTTAATAAGTCTGGTTTGTTTGCATTTCTTGCTTATAAGGTTGCAGCTTCTAATATGCTATCCAATCATGAAATGAAGAAGAAAATATACAATATTAAATACGATATAATCATAAAATGAAGAAGAAAAGGAGTTAATGAAGAGTAGGTAGGCACAAAAACATCACTGCAAGAATCAGGTTACTGTTATCTCAAAGAGAAGGAACGTGGGCGACGTTAGCTCTGAGCTGGTATTTGGAGGAGTAGAAATAAAACCAACCCATGAAGCACTGGACATGAGCCTTGTTTCTTCGGGAATTGTGAAGATCTGCTAGCCTACAGCACACACAGATGACTCCCATAGTCTACCACTCTGTTGGGGAGAAAGAGTTCTGAGCAACAAACCCAATTACCTAATTAAATATGCCTGCTATCTACCGCTGCAGCCCTACCCCAGATTTATTCTTAGAAAATAGCTATAATTATGATGGAGAACTAAAATCAAAATCATAAAATCATAAATAGTACTAAACATTAGCAAAAAACTTTTAATCAGATTAAAACGATAGGAGAGAGCCAGCAAATAATTGCTAAAGGCCTGGCAAGCTGAATTCAACCACTGCACCTACATAAAAGTGGAAGGAGAGAACCAGTTCCACAAAGGTGTCCTCTGACCTCCACATGTATGCTGAGGCATGTGTGACAACGCACGCATATACACACATACACGCACACCAAAAGCAACAAATACAATTTCTTTTAAATTATATAATAATAAAAGTAGACAATCAATTATCAGCTTCCTATGTGCAGAGAATAATAAAAAGTATAAGTTTCTGTCCTTATATGGCGTGTATTATCCTAGAATGAAAAATTAGACCACTACATGTAAAAAAGGAATACTCTCTATGTCCCAATCTAAACATCAAAAACAAAAAAAAACCAAATGTTATGCTATCTGTTAGATATACAAGTGAAACAAAAGGGTTCTGAAAGAATGAGAGAAGGCATCCTCAGCGAATTAAAACATGAAAGAAAGCAGAGCTGAAATGTTCTTACGGAAGAGGCTCGTGTAAGGATGCCGAATGATCAGAAGGATAGCCCTTGAGAGTCTGGCCAGCACGCCTGCAGCACCATTAATTCCACCTGGACAGAAACCTCGGAAAGATCGCTAGAGAGGCAGCGAGAAGGAGGAGCCAACAAGATGGAAAAGGGGTAAAAAGCAAATAAACATTTTTAATGCTAAAAATAGAACTCACCAAGTTTTGGGTGAGGTTACAAGTCTTTACGAATGATCAGATTTGAGTACAATTCTGACAGTAAAGCCAGCTGATGCCATCTCTGCTTTGGCTACCTGGTAAGCTGAGACCCAGCTTAATCACTTGAAAGTGAGGGACTGAATTTACATATGAAATAGGCCCTTCCTTAGTCCTGACCTTGTTGTTATGATAACACACTGATATTTCAAATATATATTGAATACTTATTTAAGGATAAACTATCTTGAAGGGATTATTCTTGACCGCACCTTTCATTTTTCAGAGTTAAAATTTCTTCCTGTGTCCGATGCAGGAGAGTTTTGGTCATCTCTAGCTCATTTTCCGCAAGGTTGATCCTTCTTTTTAGATCTTCCCCTTGCCTTTCTTTGGTAGTCAGCTCTTCCTGTAGAGTTTTATATAGTTGTTGACAAGTCAATAAGGAGTCTTCTTTCTCTTTGAGTAGCCTACTGTGCCTAAAAGGGACAGGAAACAAAGTATCACAAGCTTACGTTGGATACTATGATTCTATAGTTATACTATGATTTTACATTTATACTATGGTTTATATTTGTACTATGATTTTGTAGTTTGGAGAACTTTCATCATAATCATAACTTAAAAACAGATGTGAAGAATATGAATATTTCCATGACGTCAAGTTTTTGCCATTGTGGTAACTGATTTCATTGTCGTCTTGGCTGGATCGAGAATGATCACAGATTCTGAGTGTGTCTATAATGGTGTTTCTGGAAAGGTTTAGCAAGGAGGGAAAACTCACTTTGATACAAGCAAAGCCATTCCATAGCCTGGGTCCAGACTGAATAAAATAAAGAGGAAACTAGGCTCCGGTAATTCACTGCTCTCTACCTCCTGATTGGAATTAGTTGCCTCATGCTTCCGTACCGAATTTACCCTGCCATAACTGGCTGCATTCTTTTCAAAAATGAGCCAAAACAAACCCCTTCATCTTTAAGTTGCCTTTTTTTAAGTACTGTGCTCAAAACAGTGAGAAAATTAACAGAAAACTGGTACCAAGGAGTGAGGTAAACAGACCACGTGGTTCTTAGGCCTTAAGAACTGGTCTGTGGAAAGACCGTGGAATAGTTTGGAAGTTGGGGTAAGAGAAGCCTGTGACTGCTGTAATCACAGTGAAACTGACCGTTCCTAGTTGAAAACCAGAAGATTGGAATGCCGAGAGAAGTGCAGGGGTGGAGCCCTGAACTGTCTCAGACAAGTGTCTCAGAGAACAAGGAATCCTTTGGGAACTTAGCTGGGGGCATTCATGTTATATTCTGGAAAAGAACATGGCTTCCCTCATGTCCTGAGAACTTGAGGGAGACTGAATTCAAAGCCAAAGAGCTACTTTGTTTGGTGGAGAGTATGAGAGGATGGGACAACGTTTAGGCTGTGCCATGGTTACTGCTCACTGCCCCTACCCAGGTCTACAGTGACAGGCAGTGACAAGCAAGGCGGAATGATAGGAAAAACATGCAGCTTGGTGAAGAAACTGTCAGTTTAAAGCTGCTGACAAGGCAAGTGCAGCCCAAACAGTTGTAACTGAGATTCAGACCGTTCAAAAGAAGCCTCAAACTGTGTCAGTGGGAAATGGGAAAGGCATCCCCACCACCAGAGGCTTTGACTTGTGAAAGCGTATATTCACATAAAAGGGAGGCCGAACCGAGAGGCCCCTGACAGGCTTCCCCATTTGAAAACAACAGTCTTGGAAAGCACCACTCAGACGCAGAGATGTTACGATAAAAGTGGTTGCTAGCAGAACCAAGCAGTGCCATCTACCTGGTACTGGTACAGGGCTCCCAGGGAGGCATGGACGCTTTCTCCAAACAATCCAGAAAGCTGCTGAGGCTAGGCAATGCATGGGAAGGTCCTAGTCCCTGCAGGGAATCCCTGAGAGGCTATGGGTAACCTTGTGAAGGTAAAGCCAATTGCAATGGAGATCGCATGGTATTGAAGAGGCCAGGATATAGGGTACCTGATGAGGTAAGCTACAGGCGTGGCAAGGAGGAAGCCCAAGAGAAAGGCTTCCTGTACTGCATACTTGGGGGACAGGAGCTGTGCAAGGCCACCAGAGCCCAGACAGTCCTGTCAGAAGCCTCAGATGGGTGGGTGGAGCTGTAGCATTTGGTGTCTGTGCTGATGGGTTTGACTTACTTTGGGCAGATCTTATCTTGCTAAAACACCATTTCTCCCCTTGGGATGGGAAGCTTACTCTGTGGTGTTTTTATGGTAGGAGTGTGCCGCCTGTTTTTTTTTTTGTTCGTTTTGTTTTGTTTTTTATCTTATATAGCTCAATTAAAGAGACTGCCTCGGGTCTCAGCAGAGACTTTGGATTCTGGAGCAGTGTTGGGTTGTTTAAAGGGCCTGGTCTGCACCCCGACATGAAAAGGAGACTCCAGGAACCAGGAGGAATGCTATGACTTTGTGAAGTTTGGATGTCAAGTTGACAAGGGGTGGGGCTGTGACTGTTCATCTTCATGTCAGCTTGGCAGGATTTAGGATCAGCATGGAAATCCTTCCTTGGTAGTGCTTATAAGGCTGTTTCGAGAAAGGGCTAACGGAAGAAGAACTACCCTGAAAATAGGCGACGGTACTCACAGGCAGGGGTTTGGACTGAAAGAGAAGGAGAAAGCAAGTTGGAGGCTGTCTTTCTCTCCCTGTTTCCAGACAACGTCCACCTCGGGCTCCCTCCGCCACGCACTGGTGTTCGTCCCTTAAGTTGCTTTGACGGTTGTTTTTGTTGCAGCAAAGAGAAAAGTGGTGACACCAGTGTGGGCAGAGACAGAAACCACGGACGACAGAGAGACCAGGAGGTCCAAATTAGGTACCACATATATAAGCAAGGAAACAATAGGCAACTGAGTTCTCAATGAAATGACTTAGAAATAAAATTTAAATTCAGTTATTAAAATATTAATTACAAATTTGCAATATATACCTTGACTCAGAAATGACAGACTCGAACTTCAGTTTTCTAAGTTCTCTTTGACAGTTATCAGCGTCATTAGACTTTTTCCTAGGACGAAAGTATTTGCAATTGTTAAAATGTATTATTTCAAAAGAAAATGTTTTTTTCTATATCTTAAATCTTCATATTATTATTGTTTTAACATACACCTAACCAAATTACTGCTTATTTGACTGTATTTTTTTATTATTATGTATACTGTGTTCTGCCTGCATGTAAGCCTGAACACCAGAAAACGGTACCAGACCTCATTACAGATGGTTGTGAGCCACCATGTGGTTGCTGGGAATTGAACTCAGGACCTCTGGAAGAGCAGCCAATGCTCTTAACCACTGAGCCATCTCTCCAGCCCCCTATTTAACTGTATTTAACTAAGAAGGATACAGTCTGAACATTATCAAACAAGCCCACAACAGAACAAACAAGATGGAAACTGGTCAGAAGGGAAGGGAAGGGAGTCTAGGGGACAAAGTGACTCTTGGAATGAGATGACCCTATAGAGTCAGGGTGCTTCTTACATAACTGTAAGCCTGGGGACAGTCTCCGTGAGAACCAGGCAGGGGAATGAAACCTCTGGCAGGAAGTGCCAGTCTTCCTGGTCCGAAGAAGCAGAGGAAAACTTTCTGAGCAACTTAGCTGCTGGGAAATGAAGGGCTAAGCCTGGATTGCTTGGGAGAGAGAGAGTCCCCAAACAAACTCTGCTAGTCTCTGGTCTTCAAGCGCAAAGAGCAGGTCCGACACAGCCCAGGAGGAGATAAATAACTGAAATGAAATGAAGCTGCTGCCCTAGAGACAATCTGCAGTGTGACACCGACCGAGTTACTTACCCATGCAGTGGTACTGCCCCTACGGTCCCACTACGACAGTTAAAAAGTAATAAGCTGAGTGTTCCAGAGCTTGTGTCGACTTGACACAGCGGGGGTCATGTGTCCTGAGTTCTTGCACTGACTTCCCTTTATAACGGAGTGTACACAGCAAACTCAAATAAACTCTTCCCTCCACAAGTCATCCTTGGCCATGGTGTTTATCAACAGCAGTGGAAAGCAAACGAGGACACTGCTTGAGATCAGTCCATGAAACAAGAAGACGTGCATAGTGACCACATAATGCTACCAGGCCATTTCCTGCCTGCCAGATAAAAAATCCACACACGGCATCACCCCAGTGCTGGGAAAATCAGAACGCTAACAGTTATACATCCATAGGAGCAGAAGTTCCGAGAACAGGGCGTCCAGCTAGAGATTCACGAACCAGTCATCGAGACGGTCAAAGTTCACTGTGGCCCAGACTGTTAATAAAGTATAAGCATGGTATAAAGGTCCATAAATTAGGAGGCAGATTCTGTACTACTGTTTTAGACACACAGGGGTCCCCTCTCCACGTCTATGGCTTTGCGTTCTGAAGTCTGTTACCCTACGACAGTTAAAAAGTAATAAGCTGAGCGTTCCATAACTAATTAGTTTTCAACTGCACACAATTCTGACTACCGTTACGAAACCTGTTGTCCCACCCCATCCCACCAAGGGCACTCGTCACTTTGTCCTGTGTGCTCACACTATCGATTCTATCCATCTTCCGCTCTCTTGGTCCTGCTCAGATGTCAGATCCACTCCGGTGTTGATCACAGTGGCTGCTTGTAAGCCATCTTTACCTAGCAGCCTGGGACCATGTCACAACATCAGCACGCTTCATCAGGCAGGCCTTGGAAGTATCTCATAAGACGGTGAACGCAGTACAACAGGCTAGGAAATGTAGCTCATTCCTATAACTTTCACTATATTATAACTCTATTTTCCATTATTTATATTACCTTGTGCCTAATATATAAATTAAACTTTATATTTTTTAAAATTTTTGGGTGCACAGGTGTGGTGGTTTGAACGAGAATGGGCTCTATAGGTGTAGTTGCCTGAATACTTGGCCCCTAGGTGGCGGGATTGTTTGGGAGGAATTGGGAGGTACAGTCTTGTTAAAGGAGGTGTGTTGCTGGGGGTGAACCTTAAGGTTTCAAATGACTAGTGCCTTGCCAGTGTGCTCCTTCTCTGCTTCTTGTTTATGGCTCAAGACGTGAGTTTTCAGCTGTCCCTGCTGCCATGCCTTTGGTCCCCCAGCAAGGACTCCAACCCTCTGAAAATGGAAGCCAAATGCTTTCTTTCCTAAGTTGCCTTGGTCATGGTGTTTTATTAGCACAATATAGGACAGGAAAAACTGTGTATTGTGTGTCCACGTGTACACTTTTGTGTAGGGTTTAATACTAACTACAGTGGTTTAGGACTGCGTCTTCTGTTTTGTTTCTTGAGACAGGGTCCTGGAGCTCAGGTAAAACAGATTAGGATGGAGCTCCCAGGGGTCCACGGACCTCTTACCTCCTAGGCACTGGGTCCTGAAGCACAGCCCTTGTGGCTAAGGGGTGGGCAACTACTATATTAACTACTAATTGATACATTCCAAGATATTGTAAAGGAATCTGTTCCTTTTCCTGCATTCATGAAAGCAAAGATAACCTTCAGGAAATTTACAAGCACACTGAACGAAGCAAGGTTCTACACGAGCCTCATTTTCATTCCTGGGCATTCTTGGCAGGGGCTGCAAATAATTTTGTCAACTATTCCTTCAGGTAATGTAAACCCATGCCAAGGGTGTGCGTTCATATTTAATATTAAAGGGGTAATTTTCATGGCCACATGTTTAATTTCACAACTCGTAATAGTTGATTTTTCATAACAGTTAATTTTTCTTTTAAGGATGTATTTCTGAATATACTTAGTGGATAATAATTATACTAACTCTAATGTCTTCTGCTTGCTAATTTGAATTTCTTAAGGAGTTAAAGGTTTACTGCCTGGACTCTTAGTCACTATTGGGAAGTTTAGCCTTGCTAGAGGAAGTGTGTCACTGGGGTTTGGGGTTTCAGAAGCCAAGTCAGGCCTTATCTCTCTCTCTCTCTCTCTCTCTCTCTCTCTCTCTCTCTCTCCTCTCTGCCTGTGGATCTGGATGTAGAACTCTCAGCTCCTTCTCCATCACGATGTCTGCCTGCACACCTTGACAATAATGGACTACACCTCTGAACTGGAAGCACCACCAGCACCAATTAGATGCTTTCCTTTATAAGAGCTGCTGTGGTCATGGTGTCTCTTCACAGCAATAAAACCCTAATTAAAATACAAGAGCATCCAAACGCCTGATAATATCTCTGAGCCTCTGGATCAAGTAAAGCAGTCATTACCTCACTTCAGTGACAGTCACCAAAGCCTCCTAACTGATAAAAATAAAAATCAATTATAACACATGATGACGCTCGGGATGTGGCTCAGCTCATGAACACTGGTTTAACATGCACGAAGCCCTGGGCCCCATCCCCATCACCACATGAATTGAGCATGCCTGTAATCCCACTCAGAGATGGAAGCCAGAGGATCAGAAGTTCAAGGTTTTTCTTTGCCACCTAGCATATTCCGGGCTGGTCTGGTTACAAGAAACCCCGTCTCAAAAACACGCAAAAGAACATAACAATGTTCATAAACTACAGAAGATATTTTCTTAATAACCTTATGTGGGAAAAGCTAGCCCATTCTATCTATTTATGAACTGCTTCTTCTATGTTAGAACACAAAAAAGAGCTTACATCCAACTATTTTTAAAAAGCACATGTTTTATTCTTTATTTTTGTTTTACTTAATTTGTAGTGTTAAGGATCAAGCTCAAGGCCTCTCATGGGTAAGGTAGGTTCTCTACTATCTAACCCTAAAACAACGTAAACAACAAAAGAATTACAGTAAATTGAATAAAGGTCACTCCTATTCCCAGCACCCACCAAAACCGGAATTAAAAATTTAAAGGAAGATTCTACAGCATTTTCTAATTTCTAAAAGCCCAAAGAGGTTTGAGTATGTATAGAAAACCTCTATTTTACTAATCAATTTTTTAAAAAAATTAGACCCATTTATTTTATGTGTATGAGCGTTTTATATGTATGTATGCATGCCTGCCACTTGTGTGTCTAGTGTCCTTCAGAGGGCAGGCAAGAGTGCCGGATCACCTGGAACTGAAATTAAGATGGTCTTGAGGTATCCTGTGGGTACTGAGAACTGAACCCTGGTCCTTTGCAAGAGCAATGACTGCTCCTAACTGCCGAGTCAAGTCTCCTGTCCTTGGCACATCATCGGCCAAAACACAACTTCAGTTCTAATCTATTAAAAAGTAGTATCTGCAGGGACCTGCTGACCTCTGTGCACAGTGAGGCTTGCTGGGCATTGATCCCAAGTGCTCCCCCCCCCCCCCCGCCTGCACCATTAACTCCAAAGCCAGAAACGGAAAGCAGGTGGAGCTCAGATGGAAGAGGCACAGGCGTGCTTAGAGTAAGGCTGTTAACACGAGGAACTGTTTTCCATGGCCCTTTTCTAAGCCACATTTTTGAAAAGTGGGTGCTGGCTCTGATCTATCCCTGAAGCAGGTCTCCTTCTGTGAAGTCGCACTGTATTTCCGCAACCCTGTGGCAATTCCCTGAGAAGCCATCAGTGTGATGACTGCCATGAGGTGGCTCACTTCCTCCTCCGCCCTGCTCTGCCTTGACTCCTCCCACGTCTCCGAACTCAGGTTACAGAGAGGACAAAATACAACTGACAAAACAGCACGGGGCTTGAGTTAATGGTAAATGGAATGGCTCCTGTATATGCAAAGGATTCTGTGCAAAATTACTCTGGAGAAAGATCTTAGTCTGTGTAGTCAACAATAAGCTTTACTCTTCTTCTTCCATTTGACATTTCTTACTTTTCCAAGAATCTTCCTATAAGCTAAATTTTGGCATGATCACAAATTCTCTCTTAGCTTGGCCAGGTGCTAATACTATTTTCCTACTCCTGACCTGTGACTTCTTCACTGCTCAACTTTTTTTTTTAAGATTTAATTTAATTTAATTTTATTATTATTATTTGTGTGTGTGTGTGTGTGTGTGTGTGTGTGTGTGTGTGTGTGTGTCTATCTGTGCAGATGAGTACAGAGACCCATAGAGGCCAGAGGAGTTGGATCCCCTGGAGCTAGAGTTACAGGATGTTCTAAGCTGTCTGACATGAGTGCTGGGAGCCAAACTGGGGTCCTCTGAAAAAGCAGTATCTTTTCAGTATTCTCTCCACTGACCCCCCCTCCCAACTTCTGGAGCTCCAAGAAGTGAACGTTGGGCCAGTGAGATGGATCAGAGGTAAAGGCACAGGTCTCTAAGCCTGAAGATCTGAGTTCACTCCCTGGGGCATACACGACAGAAGGAGGGAACTGACTGACTCTCGTAAACTGTTCTCCGACTTCTATACATGTGCCATGGCATGCAAGTGTGCACACACACACACACACACACACACACACACACAATACATACAATAACCACACACAGAGTAACAACCACAACAGTAATTATAATACCAAAAGAAGCAAATGTCACACAGTTTGTGTTCTGATGAGGCTGCTTTTTCCACAGGACTGCCATAAGGACACAGTCCTCCTGATATGGACAGAGTGAACAAGGAGTTCTTAGTTTTGCAATTGTCATCTTGTCTCTTTCATGGTTCTTATTTCCCAGAACTTACTTCCCATGTCTGGGTAAGAAAAGCATCAAGAACTCCCTGTTCTCTCATTCCTTCACCCCAGCATCCTACATAGGCAGCCACACCTCTGGGCTTGCTGTTATATTAACTTCTGTTTTTCTAAAACAAACCCTTGCTACAAATAATCTAACTATACACTAATTTGATTGGACATTTCTGGACTTTGTTCAATATTTGATTAAACACATTGTTCTTAGGAACAGCCATGGTCAACACAAACATTCAGTCACTAAGCATCCTAAATATTTATATTTATTTGCCTGAACCTTGTGAATACAGGAACTGAAACCAGAGCTCCTAGATCACACACCAAGAAGTAAAATGACATACTTTATTTTCAAAGATCATGTGCCTTCTATTTTAACATTATAATTATAGATATACTATGTTTATGTATAAAGTAGTCTTTCAAATTCCTGAAATAAATGGATTTTTTAAAACAAATACTGCTCTGGGCACCTTTTATATGTGTATGATACATCTCTCTTCCTCTTTCTTCCTCTCTCTTCTCTCCCCCACCTCTGTATGCTGCATACCTCTGGTGTGCATAGGCATGCATGTGTCACGGTGCACATGTGGAAGTCCTTGTCTTCCAGCATGTATGAGATGGGGATTCTGTGTCACGGTGCACATGTGGAAGTCCTTGTCTTCCAGCATGTATGAGATGGGGATTCTGTGTCACGGTGCACATGTGGAAGTCCTTGTCTTCCAGCATGTATGAGATGGGGATTCTGTGTCACGGTGCACATGTGGAAGTCCTTGTCTTCCAGCATGTATGAGATGGGGATTCTGTGTCACGGTGCACATGTGGAAGTCCTTGTCTTCCAGCATGTATGAGATGGGGATTCTGTGTCACGGTGCACATGTGGAAGTCCTTGTCTTCCAGCATGTATGAGATGGGGATTCTGTGTCACGGTGCACATGTGGAAGTCCTTGTCTTCCAGCATGTATGAGATGGGGATTCTGTGTCACGGTGCACATGTGGAAGTCCTTGTCTTCCAGCATGTATGAGATGGGGATTCTGTGTCACGGTGCACATGTGGAAGTCCTTGTCTTCCAGCATGTATGAGATGGGGATTCTGTGTCACGGTGCACATGTGGAAGTCCTTGTCTTCCAGCATGTATGAGATGGGGATTCTGTGTCACGGTGCACATGTGGAAGTCCTTGTCTTCCAGCATGTATGAGATGGGGATTCTGTGTCACGGTGCACATGTGGAAGTCCTTGTCTTCCAGCATGTATGAGATGGGGATTCTGTGTCACGGTGCACATGTGGAAGTCCTTGTCTTCCACCATGTATGAGATGGGATTCTGCTGCTGTGCCCTTGTCTTTGCACATGCCACGCTGGCAATGGCCTCCAGAGGTTCTCCTGCCTCTGGCTCTGCTCTCATCACAGAAAAACTGAGGCAATAAACAGGTGCTGCGTGTCTCGCTTTAAATGGGCTCTGGGTATTCAAAACACAGGATTTCACACACTGAGTGCTTGATCCACTGAGCCATTTCCCCACCTTTGAATATTTTATAAGGTCATTTTATTATCATTTGTTTTCCAATATTTCTTCTCTATTTTCATAAAACATAGTCAACATTTCAAAGGCACTCTGTTTTGAATTTAAAATTAGATATTTTAAGAAATAACAATTCAGAAAATTTAAATGTTATAGACACTAAAGAAATGAATATAAGGAAGAAATGAGATAATTACTTCATCTGAACATCAAGACGAATCACTGATATGTAGCTAGATGGCTTCTATACTTCTATATTCGAGGCCAAGAAACAACTCATGAGTTTTTTACAGAAGGACAAAAACACTTTACTGAGATAAAGTGGTGACAGTATTTAGTCTAAGTCACAAAAGAGCCAAGAGAAGCCACAGCTGACCATCACCTACACAACTGAACCACTGCCCAAAGACAACACACTGGGGTCTTTCGAAAGCCTTTGCCCATCAGTGGGCAACCCCCCTCTTCAGCTGTTGAGTATTGCACCTTACATGAGCATCTCTTTAGAGTTGTCCAGCTCCATCACTGTCTTCTGAAGTCTCAACCCAAGGGCCTCTACTTGACACTGTAAGTCTGAAACGACACAGAACGCTCATTAGTATGCCAGCGTCTGGGTGTCTTCACAAACTAAACCAGCTCTGCTGGAGTTTCCCTTAGCGTCCAAAGCACAACACAGAGAACTTTGCCTGTATGGTTCTAGGCAACATGGTCATGGTCCATCAACACCCCCCATGCCTTGTGTCTTCGCCCTTTCTCCCCTTACCATCATGATATTTTACCAACACCTAACAGGCTAACCTTTCTACTGTTTTCAAATGAAATTGGTGTTGCTGGCAGATCCTACACACTTCTGGTGATGGCTTATTTAAAATGTTCGGCTGTCTGAGCTCCCACTTCTGTTCCCAAACCAACTGAGTCTTCTGGGTAAAAAGGAAACAGACAAATCACCTTCCAGGCTCATGGTTGGGAGTTTGTTAACTCTGAGTAGCATCTAAAAGGTGTTTAACAACTTTAAAGGACGAGAGAATATTTTGGAAAACTGGCTTCCACAGAGTCTTCATCTAGGAAATTTAGGAAGTATTTGAAAAGGATTATTCAAGAATATCCTTATATCAAGAATATATTAATTTTTCCTCTATCCTCAGTACCTAAATGTGGGAATGTAGGTAATACAACTGTACATTTACACTTAAAATTTGAAGAGATATTATCCAAAGTTTTTCCTATGTACCGTGTCTATTTGTAGACTTGATACAGTAGCCAAAATATAACTTCTTTCTAGTCGCTAATGCAGATCAGAGTTGAGATTTTTTTTATCCAATCTCATAAGTGAAGAGTTCCATCTTATTTTTATTTTAATTTACATCACTTTGGTTATTAAACTTAAAGATGAGCACAGTGAAAATATTTCCACTTTTTGTAATTTCTGTTGTATTGCAATGCCTCGTGTCTTTCTTCCATTTTACTACTTGTTACTTTTCTCATCTTTATTCTAGATTTAAGACTTTTATTCAAGATTTAATTTAAGAATTAAAGTTTTCTATGGATACATAACAGAAGCCATGTGTAATGTGTACAGTCTTGGTTTGCCTGAGTCTGGCCACCAGGCTTCTGTGAGCTGTGACAGCCTGCGGGAACTCAACTCTCCGGGAATCACTGAAGGTATGAAGGAGACCACACAGCATGGACTAGCCAGTTTATACAGAAAAAGACACTCAAAACAAGGGAGTTGTAAAATTTTATTTTCTAGCCACCTTAGGTGTTTTAATTTTCTACATTTAATAGTAAACTTGGAATTTGTTATGCAGCACCATAAGAAACACATGCACCAAATGTCTATGAGATTTTCAACATGCTTTATCGTTTTTTTTTTTTAAACAATGAACTAGTTTCTCAAATCAGAAACAAATTCATTCTAAACAAATGTTCTCATAAGAATTTTCCAGGCATTTATATAAAAATCTTTGTGTATCCCAGTGTTTTCAGATACATTATTTTTAATTATTTTAAAGAACAAATAAAATTTTATATCTATCATGTACAGCATATTTTGAAACATGTATACATTATAGAATGAGTAAGTCAAGCTTATTACTACATGTACTACACTAATACTTATTTTTTGAGGCGTGAACAATTTAAATTTACTCTTCATTTTTTAATAATGTTATTGACTAACAATGATCATGCCGTACTGCACCACTGGTCCAAGTGAAATGTTCGTGTACTTGGACCAAAATCTCCTCACGTGCAGTACTTAAATCTATCCCTTCAAACTGCCAGACAGTTGCCTCGTTTTTCAGATGAAGAGAAAAAAAGAGAGGAGAGAGGGAGAGGGAGAGGGAGAGAGAGAGGGAGAGGGAGAGGGAGAGGGAGAGGGGGAGGGGGAGGGGGAGAGGGGGAGAGAGAGAGAGAGAGAGAGAGAGAGAGAGAGAGAGAGAGAGAGAGAGATATCCCATCTGGGTCCATTGTCCCATTTCTGCAATCAGGACATCAAGTCTGCTGAGAGGAAGACCCCTCAAAACAAGTTTCAATTACAGACTTACTAAGGATATTTTCAGGGTACACTTTTTCCCCATTAATGGAAGAGAATATAAGATGAAATATACTTTTTAGTAAAAACCTTTCAAAAACCAGAGAGACCTTGGCTAGAATGGTCTGTGCCATGCCATTGTGTTAGTCAGCTGCAGCAGGGGTTAGACACCACGGGCTGCACGCTCTCCCTCCTTCTCTAGAATGAAGAAGGAGGAGCTGAGGGCAAACTGTGTCCCAGTGCCGAGCACGGAGGTTTTCTCTGCCTTACTTCATTTGTGGTCATAGTTACCAGAAGGAAAAGTAGGTATTTTGATTTTTACAAGTGGAAAGTGTAAACACGAAAGCAATTAGCTTACTAAAGTTTACTCGGCAGCTGTGAAGTGCTCCCGTGGTTCCAACTGAGTTCTGCCTGGTCCTTAAGGCTTTCTTGCTTACACTGACTCTTGAAACATAAAAGCCACAAGTAAATAGTATATTTGCCAAGGAAGTGTGGTGAGCATTGTTGTAGTCCAGCTATAGTATCTGAACTTCTAAAGAGATATACTTTACAGAATGAGAAACACTGTTTTATGAATGAAAGATTGAAAGACAGGGTACCCTTGTGACTATTTTATGGAACCGACAACACTGCGGACAAGTTTGATTTCTTGTTGAATGGTCCTTGTACTTATGACGGGATGGAATCATAAACTAGATTAAGTATGGATCTGAGCCCAAGTGATAAATTTTGTTATTTCTAAGTGGGGCTACAGTTAAAACTGATTAGCTTTAAAATAAACCCCCAAAGAACTGTGACTTTGTATGTAAATTTTATATAATTAATTCCCAGTTGCCTGAGAATTAATAAAATAGTAGATGCTAATAATAGCCAGGAAAACAAGCTCACTTTGGTAACATTAAAGAGTATTCTAAGGCTCACACTTGACTATACAGATGCATTGGAGTTCCACAGTTTACCAGGTTCCAACAAAAACAAACCACGCCACACGACCCTGTGCTGGACAATGACAACACTATTGTACTACCAGGGCTACCAGGGCTGTTCTCCTCACCACGCCTCTCTTCTCACTTTCAAAATAAACACAGGTTAGCCTTTGGTTCCCACCTTAGAGCCAGCACAGGAGACACTGCCCCGGTGACTGTCATGTGTCTTAGGACAGTTCTGGATAGTGGTAAAGTAAATAAATGTTTTGCCTTGTAAAACAAGAACCCAAGAAGGTTGTCGCACACAGTAAACAGAAACAAAAAAATACGAGCAGTGCTAAACAAGAAAGCATTTTATTTCAGGAGAAAAGACATCACCCAGAGCTGAGGAAACAATTCATTACGATAACTCACAACGTAACCCCATCCCCCATGTGTTACCGGGAGCTGATTTACATATTTTCATGGCTGCTTTTCATTTCTGGGCAGTTTTTTGTAATCAGGAAGTACTAAGGATTATTTTTTAAAAAAATCAAAAGCATGGGCTGTGTCTTTGTGGTTCTGAATGATGTGTAAGCACCACACAGGCTTGTAAAGGTTCTGGTAGACTAGCAGGGTCCTTTGTTTTCAGAAGCAGAATGCCCAGTTCTTGTACTAATAAATAAAGGGACATAGTCAGGCTAAGCAGCAGAGAGTCTAAGCCACCTGCACAAAACAGCTCCTTCAGTTTCTGAGGCAAGGAGCTCTTAAATAAGTGTATTGTTCTGTGCCGTCCTTCTCTATAGTCAAATAAATTCAACTTCAATTTTCTGTCATTCAGCATGACATTGGATTATGAGGCAAGAGGCCCTGAATGACGAGGGAGAGAAAGGAAGCACTGGCTTTAAACACCATGCAGATGTAAGGCGGAACCCATGGAAACAATCCAAACTTTACAACAGCACATTCTACTGGGATGTGACTGCGTTCTCTGCAGATATTAAATAAGAAGCAAATGATTTTAAATGAACAAAACCAAAAAGAGCTCTTAGCCTCTCTTCATATGAAGCAGCTGCTTGCTGGATAGCATTACACAGACACCAGATTTGCAGTAATTAGTCATTCGAAAGAATTCCGCGATTCTGAAAGGCTTTGAGAGACTGCACATACAAAAGGTATTCATGGTTAACTATTTCATAGGAAGAGAGGAAGCTTTAATAGTCACTTGGAAGGCATAATAATAGTCATGAGACAACATCAGAGAAAACAATAAATATACCACAAAGAATAGAAAGAAGTTTCAAGCTAAAAAAAAAAACCCACCCAATAAAGAAAACACACACAATCTTAAATTTTGGTTCAAAGTCCTATTTGGAAGAAAATCTATAACTCAGGTTTCAAGTAGTGAGGTGCAAGGATGAGCTGGCATAAAGATATCCCGAGACACAGGGTAAAATATTTAAGATTCCTAGGGTTTGATTTGACAGTTGCAGTTTCAAAGGGTTAAGGATGACCTCACTGGTGAAATTATTTGTCTCAACACAATAAACAAATTTCAGCATAAAATACCCCAATGGCTGTAATCTCTTTAATGTTAGCAATACGGAAACCCAAGCTACCTTTGAACCTTCTAACACAATTCAACACTTAACCGTTCAGAGGGGCTCTATATGAGTTCTAAAGCCACATACCTGACTTCCAGCCCTGGCCCTGCCTCTCCCAGGCTGTGCTGGCTCAGGCACCCTGCACAGGGCTCTCCCAGCCTTCAGTGACTTCATGTCCACTGAAGAGAGAAGTAATGGGCACACGTGAGTGCTGCTGACTGCTGTGCCGGGACAAAATTAAAGCCAGCTCCTCCAATTCTGTTCTGAAGCTCATCACTCTCACCTTAAGGAGTTTGTTCTTGAGCACGGCACGGGTCCAGGGGCGCCATCTTCTTAAAAACGGGACTTAGGGGCTCCAATTAGTTCTTTTCTTTAACAATACTCGGGGAACTGAGGCAAAATGTTAACATTTGCTAGACACAAGCAATGGGATCACACACGTCTGCTACATTATTTTTTCTGTGTTTGAAAATTTTTATGGCTCCATATTGTTTAAAACAGTGGTTCTCAATCTTCCTAATGGGGCAACCC